TTCCAAGATCACCATATAGGGCCTAAGGTTAGATTTTTGGGTTGGGAAGGATATATAATCATGATGAAAGCTGGGAAATTGCTTATTAAACTCAGCTCCTAAAATTAATCTAAATTTATGATTGTTTTTGTTACTCAGAGGAATATGTAATCAGGCCCCAGTTCACTGTATAGTCATGGAATTTTGTCCAAATGGTCAACTGTATGAGGTTTTACGTAATGGACGTCAAATTACACCTTCCTTACTTGTGAAGTGGTCCAAACAAATTGCGGATGGAATGCATTACCTGCATGTTCACAAAATCATTCATAGGGATTTGAAGTCTCCAAAGTGAGTAAATTTCTCAGAAAATATTTAATGATTATTCCACGAGCATGCGTTGGATATGAGATGATAGATAACCAACGAGGCGCGTAGCGCCGAGGTGGCTATAATCATCTCATATCCAACAAGTGCGAGTGGAATAATTGTTTTATTAAAAACGCCCCCAAGAAATAATTATTTTGTAAGAAGAAACCGGATTTTTTAGCTCCCATTTGATTTTAAGCTGACGTGTATGCTTACCATATTTGTAGATTATGGTATATTGGCTCATATACTAATATAATAGTAATCAAAGTTTAATGTCTTTACGTGGGGCATGGTTACCCATATTGCCTGAGCCAGAGGCTCATGTATGCAAGATAACAACCCACCCATCCCACCCCAGGGGAGGACATCCATCACACAGTAATCTCGTGCATGAGAAATTAATGTCTCCTACCCCTAACCCTGCAGGAGATGGGACCTCCATTTATTCATCCCTATCCGAGAAGACTAGAACATCTAAACCATTTCTTGATGTTATAGAAAGGCAGCATATTCTTCTCAATTATTTTAAGACCTTGAGTGTTGGTCCGGCCAGGGCTCGAACCCTCAACCTCCCGCACATCAGTCCAGCACTCCATCCATTGAGCTAACCAAATAATAAAGACTACACAATAATGTTCTGCACAATATTGTTAATCAACTAGCTCCCATGTATGACCAAGACAGAATTTCTCCCGTCCTTATTATATACATTAATTATCAAGGAGACAAGTGATGAGAATAAAGAGAAAAATCAATGAGGGGATTATTTAGTTGATCCACTTAATACCAAATTCTCCAAATTAACTTAAGATATGTCACGGTATAGCAGACAGTAAGGAGAAATATAAATGAAATCGTGGGATAAAATTGTGTGGGAACCAATCTGAGTTCTGAAGAACAGACAAATTGGCTGATTTTTGTGATGATTTCAAGCCTCTTGTGTTTACTTACTTCCATGCAGTGTCCTTGTTGGTGCAGATGACCTGCTCAAAATATCTGACTTTGGTACCTGTAAGC